TTTTCCTTCTTCCCAGATTGCCGGCTGGGGGAGCTTGTTCTGCCTCACCTCACAGCCAACTTTGGACCTATGTATTTCTGCAAATTACGTCGGTTGTAGAAGGGGCCAGAGACTATGTCTGCTGGCTGTCAGGAAATACCCCAAATTTCCAGGGAAAGTAAAACTGCCTTGTATTTATTTTACTTTTTAAAATGTCCCAAAGGAAGTCTGCTTTTTTACTGCAGACATAGAGAATAAATGAGAAAGACCTGCTGTGGAGTCTCCTGAATGTTTATATGTTTGAGATTGAGGTTTTTAGAAAAGACAAAGAGGTCTTATCAGAGGAAGTGATTTATCCCTCTGTCTTGGGATGGGGTAGAGGTCCCCATGTGGATGCTGTTCTCTCCCTCCTGTCTGACTCTCTGACCCTACATGAGCAGGTTTGGGTTAACAAACACCATCTGAGGATCTCAGTCTTTCTGTCCCAGGTCTCACCATCTGCATAACTGCAAGTTTCATCTGTGCTTATCTCCTGCCTTCAGAAAGAGCAGCCTGAGGTCCTGAAATGAGAGCTTCCCAAGAGTGCCCCTACTGTGGGGTTGGAAATGTGCTTGAGGTGATTGAGATCTGGTGGTGGAAAGAGTTTGGTGCTGTGGAGAGACCAGTGACTGTTGCCATCCCTCACGGACAGAAAAGCTGTGATTGGGAGGGAAGTTGTGAACACTCCCATGTTAGATGCCATTTAATGTCCAGTGGGAAGGTGTTTGTCTGATTTTGAGTAATAACTGTGCATTCATATAATCATAGCCATCATTGAAGGGTTACTGGAGTTTATGATAAGTTGCTTAATAGCTACATTTTTATTTTTGTGAGCAAAATACAGTGATGGAGAGGGTAGACACAGCTGTATTGCTTACAGGGCAGCCCATATGAAGTTACTCCAGTGCCAGCAAGAAAATACTATTGAGGTTTTGTAATCCTTTTCTCTCGGCATCGCCCTGCTTCTGCAAGAGGCAGCATAGATGAAAATGAGGGTGAACCCCCATCCATGTCCATCCTTCCAGGAAGGTGCAGTTCATAGATTTATCATCATTTGAACCCAGCTTAAGCCAGTCCTGCCCTCCGCATGGCATCTTGGTTCCTTGCAGGATCCGTGCCTATTGGCAAGGAGGGTGGTCAGGAAATGGCTTTTCCTTCTTCCTTCCTCACTGTAATCTCTGCACTGCCGATTGCAAAAGAGAGGTCGTGCAGCGCTGTCCCTTTCGCCTCGCTTCTGGCCCTGCAGGCGTGGGACCCTGGAGGCTATGCCACTCTCTTCTCACGGCTGAGGGTCTCCACCTCCTTCATGAACCGGAGGCACAGCTCCTCTTGCCACGGCAAGGCTATGCACTGCACAGCCACGGGCAGCCCCACGGCTCCGGCCACAGCCTGCAGCGAGGGCACAAGCAGTGAGGGGTTACCTGGGGGGCTCAGACCTCCAGCAGCTTTTGGAAACTTGGTTTAGGCATGTGGCTCATCCTCGAGTGTGGGGAGGTCGCAGGCTGAGCTCTGCCATTGAAGCAGCATTAGCACGCTGGGGCAGAAGGCAGGCTCTTGCTGTTCTCGTGATAGAAATGGTTGCCAAATTGTGGACAGCATGTTTCAGACACCACCCCCAGACCAGCCAGCTCTGCTTTGAGCTGTCGTGCAGCCAGATCGTTTTTCCTTCAGCATCCTCATTCCTGATCCATGCTCTGCTGACAGCCTGGTCCTGGCGAAGGTGTCACGGAGGAGGAGGAAAGTGCAGTGCTGTGGCTGTCACAAGGACCTACTCAAAGAAGCCTTGCTGCATGGCTCTTTTCTGTTTTCAGCCTATAATACAGTGTGGGGGTGCTCCCCCCATCCCCTCAAAGCTTAGTGAGTTTTTTGAGGCTTGGGAAAAAAAAAAGGGATTTGCAAAGGGTATGTAAAGAAGAGGTGATTTTTTTTGCACTGTGCCCATACCGAGGGAGACATTTAGGAGCCCCTGACTTCAGTGAAACTGTTACTTGAACATCCATCAGCAGTCTCTACTCCATCATTTTCCATGTTGCATACCTGTTTCAGCGTCCGGTCCCAGGGATCATCACAGCATCCTTGGTAAAGCTTTAGTTCTTCCTCATCAGCTTCTGTCACTGTGCTGACTGGTACAACCCCAGCGGGGAAGTTTAAGACATTGTACAGCATTGTGGAGGAGATGGCGGCTGAGAGAAGCAGAAGAGAGAATGCAGGTAGTCACAGCCTCCTGTCTTCCTCCAAACTTACACATTATATGTTCACTGAAGCCCCTGAGAACCAGCTGCTGCTGGGAGGAGAGATTGCACAGGACTGGTCATCTGCAAGTCCAAGTTCTACTGCGAGAAACAACTGCCATCAGATCATTTCATCCACGTGTCTGTCTCCATCTGCCCAGATAGATAGCTTTATGGTAATTATTTTTCCTTCCTAATGCCCATAAAATGCTTAGGTGGGTGGTGAAGCTCCATGGTAGTGGATATTTCTGTCCGGTCTCAGCCACTCTGGTCCTCTGCCCTCCCAGAAAGATCCCAGAATCACTTACTGAGGAGTTTCCCAGGGTATCCCGTGGTGAAGGCAGGCCCTAGGACAGGGCACAGCACAACATCCAGCCGGAGTTCCCTCCACTGGGTGATGAACTCGGTGCGGTATGCCTTTGGGGTGGAGAGGGGAGATGCCATGGAAGCCATGTCCATGCCTGGAGCATCTTGGCTTCTCCAGGGTATGCACCAGGCTCTGGCATGGCCAAGGAGAGAGCAGCAGGCTGCTGTGCTCAAGGGGAGAGGCAGGGGAGCGTGTAAGTGTCTGCCTCCACAGCACATGGCCAGACTGTGACCAGGAATTGGAAAGGTCCCTCTTTAGCTGTCCCTGCTCCCAGGACAGCCTTTGTTGTGCTGGGACCGTCAAGCATGGGCATTTGTGCATAAGCACTCTGGGCAACCAGTAAAGTCCTGTCTGGGTTGACTCAAAAGCCCATCTAACCGATTCCTACCTCTCTTTTTGCCTTTCCCTCCATCATGTCTCCTCCCCAGCACCTCCCCACACAACCCCTTTCCTAACTGATGACCCTCTGACCTGACACTTGCCATAAAGCCTCACCTCATAGCATGATGCCAGAGAAGAAAGTCCTCAAAACATACCTCTATTTGATGGTGATGATTCCACATCTCCTTCACTGACCTGCAAGCAGAAATTGTAGCAACATTTTTAAGCTTAAGGAGCAGGAGGAATTGCTTATATAATCCTCTAGGTCGATAAGCCTATGATTTTAGCAATTACTTAAAACAATAAATCTTTTACAATTTGTCTGAAGTTTCCTTTGGCATTTGGCCAAGCAATTAAGCAACAAATGTCTGGAAGTGGTAGAGAGAACGTTTCTCTTGTGAGCCTGGATTTAGTACTCATCTCCATCACAGGCTTCCTGTATGACCTTATCCATCCATGTCCCTCAGTCCTTTCGGGAGAACATTAGGGGCAGTGCAGCACTAGGGAGACGTGTTCCTAAAGGCTGAAGGTATGTCCACGATGGAGGGACAGCTGCTGCAGAGAGCAGGTCAGAGCCTGTCGTGAATCCAGTCCCCTCCACCACGGACACTTAGAGGAGAAGGTATCGTTCATTTTCATGGACATCCCTGGAGACGATGCCATCTTACCTCATTCCACCCAAGGCACTCAGATAGTCTGCCAGGCGGGGAAACTGGAAAGGCAAGAGATTCCTGTCAGGGACATGACATGGGAGGTGCAGTAACTTGTGCCATCCTGGGAACCCCCTGGTTCTGTTCACCTTCTGTCCCTGGGGATACTGCACTGAGGGTGAATGATGATTAAAAGTGCTCCTCATGACTCTTAATTTACTTTGCTTCCAACTTCTGGCTGTTGATTCCCAATTTGTTTCTTATAGCCCAATATTTCCCGTTCACAGAGGAATGCACTGACTTGAAACAAGTTGCCTTTCATTATTTTTGACAAATCAAACATTTTTTATCTTGGTATCTCGCAGAAATAAGACCTCTACAAGCACTTTGATTGCCTCCCACTCACTGCTACCTTTTTGATCCTGTCAGCTGAGAACAACCCAACTGGACAGAGACACAGAGAAAATGGAAGATGGAGGAGAGAAGCCCTACAAAACGATGCTCAGCTGATGAAAGGGCTACAGTGAGGGCCAGCCCTTATTAATCACCAGGGGTCCCCATAAAGATGCCATCTTTGGGAGGCCTCCAACACAGGGGTAGAGCCTCAATCTCGAGTCCTTCTGCTGCAGTAATCCCAATGCATAAATCTGTAGGGAATGGAGCACTACTAGGTCTAGCATATGAAGAACCACTTGCTGTGAGCTCTGCATTAATCTTTTACAGCTCTTGGCTGGTCCTTCTCTCATTTCCCTTTGCACTGAATAAATCCTAGCAGGGATCTAGAAAAGACCTTTCAAAGTGATAGCATCCAGCTTGGCCTGAAATCCCAGTGTTTCTAGTTAAAGGTGTCTCTCAGTACCATCATGTCTTCAAGCATCTCAAGGCTTTGCTGACACCACTCTGCCTTGAGCCTGAGGCCAGGGACTCACCAGAGGTTTAAGAATCAGAGCCAGCAGCTTCTTCCCCAGCCTTGGGATCTTGTAGAAATTCACCTGTGATTTCAAGCTTGGATCTACAATACCTCCTGTGCTGAGAGATGACAAGAGGAGGGGATCATGCCAGAGAAGCTGTTTGCCCTTTCTCAGAAACCCGAGTATCTCCTGTTTGGGGTGGGAGAGATGGGCTCATTTTGCCTGTGTGTTGTGCTCATGGGTGTGGGCATGGAGGAGTTTTACAGCACTCCTGCCAGAGGGCTCTTACTTACAATACATCCAACCAAGCACGGCCTCCATCAGCAAAAAACGTCTTCAAAAACAGTTCAGTCATGACATAGTGGATCCGAGGTGGAGAAAAGGGCACCAGCTGCACCAAAACACAAGATTATGGGGCAGCCTGGGGATATGAATGATTTCCAAGGCTTGATTGTAGATATAGTTCAAAGGCAGAGCAGCACCTCCCTGGGCTCCGCACACCAATGGAGGACCTGGTTCAATCCTTTATCAGCATAGGCATCTCCCTGTGGGGTTATTCCTCCCTGATGGCTGTTTGGCTCAGCTCTGAAATCTCTTCAGAGCTGTTTCCTCCTCCGTCTTGCTCCAGGCAGTCACTGAGTCAGAAACTGCACGAGTTTCCCACCTGTCCCAGCAGGATCGACATCTCTCAGATACAGACTTGCTTTGCTATGAAGAGCACCGCTAGCATGTTTCCACAGGGAAAGGCATTTTCCATCCCATGTCCCATGGTCCTTTTCCCTCAGTGGTCCAGGAAGGACAGAAGTCTCCATGGACATTGGGGAGAAAGGGGAAAAACACCCCTCAGGGCCCTGCTGGGGAGCAACAGACCTAGAAAATGCCAGGGCAACCTTCCAGGGTCAAATGCAGTGTTTTATGGATGCTGCTGTCTGGCATGGACCACAGCCACCAGGAGAGCTGTGACGGATTCATTACACCCCTGGCTACTTGCAGGCACAAGTTTGCTAATGGCTGTAGTAACTTAATCCTGTATCTCTGGTTAGGTCATTTATCCCACAACTGGACTTGGGGGCTATGTCTTTTTTATGAAGGGTGATTTCAGAAGCGAGGAGAAAAGCTGGGGACACCTTGGGGAGAATAACGCGGGGTGCTTGCACTCACCTCATGCCCGGCTGCCTGCAGAGCCCCCCTGGTTTCCCACACTGCTCGCCGCATGCAAGGGGGCAGTGGGAAGTAGCCGTCTGTGTCGTAGTACCCGACCCGCAGAGGAGCAGAGCTGGAGTACACCTGGAGCAAAAAGCCACCAGTTAAGCATTTCCAACCTTGCTGGGTGTAGGACTGCTACCATGCTGAAGCCCACTGCAGAAGCAGACAAAATCTCCAGATGTTAGGGAGTAACTAATTTTCTGGTTTGCTCCTTATAGTTTCCATAGGTGACCCTTTCCAAATGTCCACCCCTGCTTTTTTCTGCAGCCTCCCCTTCATCCCTCCCTTCAGATAGAACACAGCCACTCAAGACCAGAAAATTCAACCATTGCTACAAATGGAGGTGAAAATGGAGGTGAAAAAAAAACCCTGAAGTTTGTCTGCTGCAGAGGGAAAGGAAACGTCCTCGGTCAAGAGATTTGCTGCAGGAGTTTCTGATCCTGTCTCATCTTCCCCTAAAAATCTCCAGCTTTTTGCTCCTGGTGTTGCCTTTCTCCCCACTCTTCTCTGGAGTCTCTCAATCTGATAAGCTACATGCCAACTGAGAAGGCAAGAAAGGATAACTACTTATTAACCTATTTTTTCCTAATAATATGAATTGTGTCCTCAAAGAGAGCTAACAAGTTATTGGAAACCAGTACTGTAAAGATAACTGGACCCTTAAAGAATGCATATGGTGAGTGTGCGGCACCCTCAAAAGAACCAGGGCTTGCTGACTTGAGGACTCACCTCCTCGTTGAAGGGGATGGGGGGCACGGTGGGGTCGAGCCAGAACATCTCCTGGCAGAGCAGCGCCTTCATGCACAGGGCCAGGCTGTCCACATCCCTCGCCATTGGCCCCAGCGCACAAGGAACTGGTGTGGGACGAGAGCAAATGTCCATGTTAAGCAAACAGGTGCACCAAACACTGGTCCACCCCTCTGCACGGCCACGTTGGCTGCAAGGGATGGTCAGGCAATGAGGTGAGACATTTCAGATGGACTGCAGACAGATCTTGGCTGTCTCAGGCTTTCCTCAGGCCTAGAGGAGGACATAGGACTCTTCACAGCATATAGAGAAAAGCAATTAAAAATTCATGTACCTGCCAGGATCCCACTGACTGGGCCACTCACTCCAGACAAGCTGTGAGGAAAGAAAAAGAAGTATATTATCATTGCAGTAATGGTGAGATATTCCCAATATGTTTGAATAGCATAGTGGGGGCTTTGGTTCAGGACCTGAAACAGAAGGAAATTATTAAAAGTATTTAATTTTAGTCACGTGAAACAGAAAATTTTAGTCTAAGTTAAAAAAAAAAAAACAACCCTGAACTCCAATAAATCTTTGTTTCGGTTTAACCAAAGGTGTTCCAGTTTGGCATTATTTAACAACTTTAGGCCCCCTTTCCTTTTAACTCTGGGCCAGATTTACAACGAAAATGCGGCCGTTTCCCCACAAAACCTAAAAGCCTAACAACGCTGCCTCTTGGGGGAGATTTCGAGAAAAGCAAGCCAGCTTTTAAGAAACTGTCCTCTCTTTTCCCCTCAAATACTCACTGAGTACATTGCCCCTTCTGCAGAATTTGACAATTAGCAGGCTGCTTGCAGAATGGGAGGGGCAGACCTCAGCACCTACCTGAGCCTTTCGGCTGTGGGCTTGAGCCCACACAGCCCGCAGGGCAGGCGGATGCTGCCACCAATGTCCGAGCCGATGCCCAGGATGGAGCCTCCCCCTGCGATCAGAGCTCCTTCCCCTCCTGAGGAGCCCCCGGGGCTCTTTTGGTGGTTGAAGGGGTTCAAGGTCTGGCCAAAGATGGGATTGCTGCAGTCATAGCTGGGGAGAAGAAAACCGGCAAGCAGGCTGTCAGGAACAGCCTAATACCTTGAGTTTGTTGGCTCTCCACTGCAGTGAGTTTATGTGTCATAGCCAACCCCATCCTTCCATCCCCTAAATCCCTCAGGATATGGTTCATACCATGAGCCTCCGCTCTCCCTCCCATGCACAAGTGCACTTGATTTCTCTTATGTTATGTTACTTTTTTCCCTCTTAATCTTATCTGAGAGGTATTTTCAGTTGAACTGGGATTGTTGGCAGCTGATGGAAGAGGGACTCATCCAGGCAACATCTCAGGAGACAGTGAGGAGCTTGTACTGGGACCTACAGGCTGTGTTTTAGCTTCTGGAGCACAACCAGAGGAAAGACTTCTAATGATGTATGTTACTTGAAGAGGGATTGTGGTACGTTGGTCATTGCAAATGGGATGGCCCCCTGTCTCTTCAAAACCTTGACTAGGATGCTGTCCTCCTGCACCACAGTGCCCAGGCATTGCACAAGTCCACAGGTTGACAGATGCCCCTGCAGAGAGAAGTGGCAACAGACATGGTCAGCACAGTTCCCCTGCAGTTTTGGAAGGATGATCTGGTGTCCCCTTGGGG